TACCTGCTCAAAAACTCAGGGAAGTCCACCCAACTTCTTATACCGAGTAAAAAAGTTCACTTCATATGTTAGAAATTGATCTGGCTATCTAATTCACTTTCAAAAAATATCAATACAGAAAGAATATCAGAATACTGTCAGTAAATTGGAGCAATAATGATAACAGTGCTGACATATTTATATCTTCGTCAGCACCATGCTTAATTAGTGCTTGGTGTCTGATTGGGGGTCTTCTTGCATACGCGGCGCTGGTGGCAGCCTACGCGACCGCGCCGAGGCTGGGCCCGAGTTGCCGTTCTCGCGCCAGGGCAGAGTCAAGGGCCAGGGTCGTTTGGTCCATGTCCACGCCGCCACCTAACCATTGCCAGGCGCCCGCGTCGTGGTCTCCCGCAGCGCGATGGCTTCGACAACTAACTGGGGTGGAGGAAAGATTTGGATTAGATTGAAAACCGAATTAAACCTTAGAATAAGGAAACCATTCTTCTCCTATTTTGATGCTGCTGGTGGCCGCTGCCACACGACAAGGTATCTTCAATTTCATCATCAGCATGCCCCTAATGCAGAGTTCTGAAATCAGCACGTAAGCAAATTTTCTTGAGTGGGAAACTTTCAGTGCACAGAACATTCAGTGCAATGCACACAGAACTGCAAGCGCAGATGCAGTAAAGGACATGGGTGTGCACATGTACGCATGATAATCTTTGAAAGGGAACGAAGTTAGCAAGCATAAATACATGTCCGACCACCTTCGTGTGGGCCGACATCATGTTGCAAGGGTGATACATCTATGTGATGTTATTAAAGAATCATCTTAACCATTCTCTACATTTATGAGAAGGGATCATCATCGCCACCACCAGCTATGACTGGCACTGCTGAGAGTTGCCATGATGCACTCTGTTCCCATCATTACTGCATCAAAAAGACACTTTGATCATCAAACCAAGAGGTACGGTGGAACTAAGATGGTTAGAAAAAAAGAGATAAGCATATACAAATGCTTACTGTTAAGCTACCAAGGCAGCCAGGAAACATCAATATAGTTAGCGTCTTTTTCTGATGTAACGATCTGCATGGCATATTAGTTGGAGACAGGGTATAACGTTAACTCATTATCGTATTCGTATTGTTCCAAACTAAATCATTGAAATGATGCAACGGTTTGCATGTTGTGTTAACTGCAGACAGGGTACTGCTCACCTGCATTTGCCACACCATTGTACCTACACTGAATCACCCATCTTCAACACGTCAGCCACTACAGTACAGAAGGCTGCAATCGTGATGTTTGAAACATCAATATTACATAAGTCTATAATAAAGATTCAAATCACATGCACATTTGAACTTTTTTTTCTTCATATTCAAGCCAACTAAATCACATGCAGCCGAACTATTGTATTCATAAAGGTGAATTCATAATCACTGGAATGGTATAACTGAGACAGTGCACAGCTGCCCACTTTGCGTGCTCATTCAGAAATAAATTAGAACATGTCAATTTGATATTCTCGATTATCTATTATATTCTTGTTCACATCATAAAAAGTGGTCATTAACCTTCACAATTTGCGTGTCAAGTAAGCAACTTCTAGCTTTGTGTCGTGACCGTCAGTAAAACATAAGTTCGGTGACTTACTGCCAAAAGAAAACTGACATATCTGGAAAAAAAAACTAAGCACATGAACCTCATCAAACTTATCTGCTACTGCATAGTGGATTCAGAAACAGGTAAGCACACGGAAAAAAAAAAAGCTGAGTTTTCCCTACCTAACCATATCGTTTAGTAACTGATGGATGAGCTTTCTTTATTTATCTGATATGCTTTTAAGTAGCTGATGTTCTTCTGTTTATCTTGGACAACTCAAGACATGTACTAATTCATGTAATGTAAATGTGCAAGCATGATCTATGACTAAAAATTTAGAACAAATGGAGTACTCTTAATTTTATCCAATATTTATGTTTTATCATTGTTTTTTTCTTATAAAGAAGCCAATATAAAATCATGCTAAATAATTAATGTTTATACTTTGGTTCGAGAAAAAAAAATGTTTATACTTACATGCATCTTAGTTGAATATAACATGAATAGAACACTTGCAGAAAGCTCAAAAAAATGGTGTACAATAGGAAGATGTTACTGGAGAAGATGCAAGCTCATGCAGAACATACTGCAGATACATACATGTATACATTCAAACAGTGGGCAAGCAGGAAGAAAACAGTAATGGAACTCTCAACTCTGTAACATTAATCTTTATAAACAGCATGTGACAATTAGTTAATCGCAGAACATTACCTCTGCACAGTCATATTCTTGCAATCTCCGGTCAACTTTCTCCACATCTCTGCAGCTTACGCAAAATTGTGTCGACTTTATTCCTGCAAGAATTATATTCACATTTCAGATTTATATTCAAAATTCAGATTAAATTATTATTTGAAACTTGATGAAAACAAGAAACAATAATATTTCAAACTTCTTATCGTTACGATCAAAGAAGAGCCGACTACAGCTTGCATATCTATATAATATTAGAACCCAAAGAAGAAATGTCATCGCGTATCTATATGCTCAGAAGCACCATTGAAGAAGCAAAGTTCAGATTTCGGCAAACTGAGCAGTCATCTCTAGATAATAAAAGGGGTCATCTCTACGACTCTACCTGGGAGCCGCGGAGGTCGGGTGCAGCGTCATCCAAGAGCTCCTTCCGAGTGAAGACCATGGCGAGGAAGATGTTGTCAGCGTGAGCAATCCGAGAGTCCGCCGTGATCGATGACCAGATGGAGGCCGTGATTGGACGCTAAAACGGAGAACACTTGTAATTGGATCAGATCCCAATAAACATAACCTGCAAAGCAGATCAAAGCACACACAACTGCAGGCACGCATCCAATAAAGGACATTTGGTGTGCACATGAACGACTGATAATCTTTGAACGGGATCAAAGTTAGTTCGCAGCGAAGAGAAGGGTGGCATACCTATTGGGCGCTCGTTTCTAGCTAGCGATTGGCGCCCGGCGGCGTGGAGCAGCAACGGCGCGAAGCAGCGAGCCAACGACAGCAGGGCAGGTCGTGGAGGTGGTGGTGTTTTCGGCGGCGTGGAGGCGGTGGCGCGTCTAGGCGGCATCGACGGCAGGGCAGGTCGTGGAGGCGGTGATGTTTCCGGAGGTGAGGTGCCGATGCAGGCACCGCGTGCATGACGCTCCTGGTCGCGACCTTGGCGTGGAGGCGTCCGACGGAGACGAGGCACAGCGATGTGACGGAGCGATGGGCGCGGCTCCTCGCAAATCTGCAAGGGGTGCTCGGAGCAGGGGCGGGGCGAGGTGCGTGTGCAGGTGCGGAGGATGGTTGTGAGGCGACGGCGACACCCCCGTTTCCCTTACCGAGCAGCAACGACGGGCGTGGGGTCCCGAGTTCCTCCCGGGTGCGGCGACGGTGTCCCCTGCTGCTGTGCTCCGCCATGGAGGTCCGCTATGAGGCCCATCGCAGCGCAGCCTCCGCGAGTGCAGAGCAAGATCCGAGTGTGAGAGGGAAGGAGAGAGAGAGAGAGAGGGGCGGCACGGGGGTGAAGCGGAGGGCGTGTGGTGGAGGTGGCGGACGGCGCTCGGGAAGAGGCGGACAGTGTGCGATGGAGACGGACGACGACGCGAGGGATCAGATCGATCGCGAGAGGGAAGGAGAGAGGGGAGAGGGAGGGCGGCGCGGAGAGGGATCGCTCGGAGGAAGTCATGGTGGCCGGAGGGAAGTCGCGGTCGCAGGAGGTGAAGATTTGTTCTTTTTAGTCGTAGAGACACATGCCGCATGTAGTTTCAATCATTCAGCCATGGTGGACTCAATCTCAAAAAAAAAAGGCCATGGGTGGACTCTGAAGAAACAGAAAACGTCGCTACTGGATATAGGTTCCTGCTTTTCTTTCTAGACCAGAACATTTTTAACACTAAAGTAGCCGACATACAAGTCATTCTTCCAAAAAACATTCCTTCGTCCTCGTACTATCATTTTACATGAGAAAATAATACGCACACAGGGTGAGCGGGCCATCGCCGCAAGATGATTTTATTTCATTTTGTTTATGGAAACGGAGTGACGGTCGGTCCTCGTCGGTGTCGGCTGCTGAACCGTGCGGTGCTCTGCAGTTGTGGTTCCGTACTGGTCGTGCCCTCAAGCCCAGTCCAAGGCAATCAGACCAGGTACGGCGTGTTTGGTACAGACAGCGAAAAGATTCGATCAAGCTGATCGATGGCCGACTCGTTAATTAATGTACGATGAGCAGGAACAGAGCAACCGGCCAACTCGGCGAGGATTACAGCCAAATGCACCGCTGATTAGATGTGGTATACTTATACATCTCTGAACAACGCTAGAGCAGTTCAGAGTATGGCAGTGACAAAACCTTACATCTCTGAAACCTGACATCAAACTTGCAACATATGTCCTTCAATCCATGGTTCATCAAATTAAGTTACACACAAGTAGTTCAAATACACAAGCACGAAACTTCACCTAGAGGTGAGCTTGGTTCTTAAGAGTAGTGAACAATCCAAGAAAATTTGATACAAGACTCACAGAAAACTGAACGATACAATAGTTAAAACAGAGCACCATCTGAAAGGTAAAGGTAAAACGAATGGCAGATTCAGGCTCGATCACATTCAATGAATCAAGCAGAGCACCATCCTGCACTCGCTTTTGATGGATGTTCCCCTAGATAAATAAACAAACAAAAATAGCAGGACATGAGGCCACGAGAAATGTTTTACGTACTACATATGAAGAATATAAATGTACCCCATATTTAGTACAGAAAGCAACAGAGTAATTTTCAAATAGGAAATTGTGACTGATACCTCTTGCATAGGTAATGAAATGTCGTGATGATAACATTTTCCCATCATCGTCTAGCTCTCTTCCTCGTTGGTGTCATTCTCCTTCTCAAACTCTTCCTCATTGGTGTCATTGTCTTCCTCGCCCTCTTCCATTTCTCCTCGGATAATTAGCCTCGGATCATTGGAGTGGCATTTGCTTCATTCCTTATGGCTGCTGCTGCGGCCCTATTTTCTGAAGATGAGGCACAACCATAGGCAACAAGAGTGATTGTAGCATGTTTCAGGCATGGGAGGTGGCTAATGCCTAAGTAGAACCCATTGGATTTTGCCCATGAAACTAAGAACGGCAGGTCAAGCTTCTCAAGCTTCGGTAGCGCCCCTTCCTCAAACAGCAGGTTTATCGCACGAGAATTACGGTAAATGTAGAGTTCCTTCAAACAGGGGAATCCATGGCCTCTGATGGTAAGTCTTTCTTCCTGGTCAGTTTCGAAAGTTAGCAGCAGGAAATTAAGGCAGGTATCTCTCAAGTACGCCCAGATCCTCCTCCGTTGCTTTTTACTAAATTAATGTTTAGGTATGCCACACTGGCGAGTGCTGGTGTGATCCAATTTGGAATCTTCGGTAAATAGTAGTTGGTGGTCATCTGAAATCTCTGGAGGGAAGATGGCAGAGGGGACCAAGAATCTAAAAACTGGAGGGGTGTTGGATCACGTGAAACTATCGATAAAGACTGGAGTTTGCAGCTGCTAAGCTTGCATAGTGAGAAGAGTAACATCTCTTCGTGCCTCTTATATTTCTCAGATCCTCTACCGTCTAGCTGTAGATGCAATTCATTCAAACTGGTTAGGTTCCCAAGCTCTGCCGCAGCACCTAATGAACTCTTGGTAATATTGAAGCCTGTGATAACCCTCAGGTTACTCATGTTTCCAATCCCATCGGGTATCTTTATATGGCCATCAAGAGAGGCAAAAGAATGAAATGTTCCGAGTAGATATTGTAGTTTAGTGAGCTGAACAATTCTGGATGGTAACACTTTTATATATGTACTGGTAAGATCCAGCGTCTCCAGATCATAAAGCCTCACAATTCCTGAGGGGATCTCTGACATATAAGTTCCCTTAGGCTCAAGTACTTTAGCTGGAATAGTTTATCTATACCATTCATATCATACTCTTCCAGACCCTGACAACCTTCAAAATCCAGTACACGCAAAGTTTCAAACTTAACAAGGCTAGGCAAGTGTTTGATGCAACTTGATGTTATTACTCTTAGGGATCGGACATGGCTTAGATCTTGATTTTCCAATACAGACACAAGCTGCTGATCAATGTGTTGGACTGATAGTCGACGAATAGCACCATTGCGATTTACCAAATCAGTTTGCCCGTGGCCTACCACACTGATTAAATTATCTTCAATTGATTTTGAAATAATGAGCTCAAGCATCATGTCATGGACTTGACAGGCCTACCACACTTTTAAATTACCATCATAGCCAACGTCCACTGGTTGGACCATGCTTTTATTGATTAGCTCATAGAAGTGGTTCTCGGCGACCTCTTGTTTGCTAAGTCCACGCTCTTCAGAGATAAATCCCTCTGCTATCCAGCGTCTCACCAAAGTCTCTCTCTCAATCACATAATCTTCAGGAAATATACTTAGATATATTAAACAGGTCTTCAGATTAGGTGGAAGATCATTGTAGCTAAGGCATAGGATGCTATTCATGCCCTCCAAGCTTCTATTCTTGTCCAACGCAGAACCAATTGACCTTCTGACCTTCTCCCACTCGTCTTTGAGGGATGGTTTGTTTGCCAATAAACTTGAAATACTGATGATTGCTAGTGGTAGGCCTCCACATTTTTCAATATTTCATTTGAAACTTGTTTTAGCCCTTCCGGGCAACTGTCCTCGGATCCAAATGTTCTCTTGAAAACAATTTTTGGAGTGAACATCACTTAGAGCTTCCATTTCATACATGCGGTCATTACCACCGAGACAACATGACCTTGCTACATCAACAATGCGTGTAGTTGCTATAATTCTGCTAGAAAATTTATTCTCTGGGAAAGCACATTTAATAGTGTCCCATGCCGCTATAGACCATATATCATCAATAACGATGAGGTACCTGATAGAAATAAATAAATATTGTTAACCAATTATTGAATGGAGTTAGCCGCAAAAAAATTAAGGAGTGGAGTTTAAGTAGAAATAAAATACATGCATACCATGAGGCTCCAACACGATGCTAAATAATTCAAGTGGCATACATGAAAAAAAATAGAACTCAAAGAACATGATAATAAATGAAATTCAATAGAAGAACAATAAACAGACCACGACAATAACAGCATAAACATATCAATTATGTAAAGTGTTTTTACGCGGTGTGTTCGCCGTGTAAGCACGGCGTTTCTTGCCGGGTGATAACTAATAACTATGCTTGAAGCCTAGCTAGATGCTTGCATAGATTATTAAAAATGAGAGAACAAAAAAAATTAGTTCACAAACTGATTATGTAGCCATTCTCACATGAAAATATTATGCAACTTGTCATTATATTTTTTTCTATGAATACATACATGTCATTACATTTACCATATACTCGGTATACATGCTACATGGGATCTTGCTGATTGTTCGCCGTGTACTGTTTAGGGTAAACATTGCCATAGTTGGGATGTCTTAAAAGTTAAGATGCAAACTTATTTTTGAAAAATTCATATGAAATTGATAGCTATGAATCTTACAAAAATGAGTTTGCACGTCAACTTCTGCGACATTCCCTTCTATGGATGCTCTATGAATATACGGAAATTAAAGGAAAATACAAAAAATTCTAAAATGGCAAAAACAGTTTTGTTAGGTTAATGATATTTAGATTATAGATGAAAAAATAAAACTGCATGTTATGTTACATGTGTGTGGCTGAAGAACACAAAATCTATACATGATGTTTTATTTATTTAAAATGTTATATATATATATCCAAAATCATGAACATTTTACAGTAAATCACATCTACCACTAGTTATTTGTGGTAATTGAATACACGAGCTAATATGATAGTGCAGAAAATACAGCTATGTTTTGTCTTGTTTAATACGTTAAAAAGGTAAAATTGTTAAAACTGAACATTTTGATTTCTCTACAATGTATGACTAGTACACTATTTAGGTAAAATAAAACATAACTATTGTATTAGGAAATATTATAAATAAGTTAGTCTATTACACAAAAATTTCTGGTTAGACAACTATTATATTTTTGTACATTACGAAAAAGTAATAAAAATAATAAATCCTCCTTTTCTAGAAAAAGGGCTTGAAATTACCTCTTATCTTGTAACAGTTCTCTAAGCTTCCCAATAAATTTCTTTTCATCCCAAATGTCGATATCTTCTATAAAATCTTTCTTGCAAGGCACTTGAGAGATCACATCCTTCATAATTTTCTTTACACTCTGCTGTGAGACAGAGACAAAAGCATGACAATCAAAATGCCCCTGGATCTTGTGACAGACTTCCTTTGCCAATGTCGTCTTTCCCAACCCACCGAACCCAACAATAGATAGCACCCTGCGATGCTTGGCCGAACTATTTTCTTCTTCCATCATCCAAGTGACGAGATGGTCTCTTGGACCATCAATGCCCACAAGATGTGTCTCCTCTACAAAAAGAGCGGACAACCGGGGATCCACGGCTGAATGCTCAAAGGTGCTACGAGCAGTACCGTCCAGCTTGTAACTATTCTTGAGCTCTTTCACCTCCTTGACACGTACCTTCAGGTCATCGATTTGGCTGGCGATTCCACGGCGAGACCTGAGCGTCTTGAGACCACGAATAGTCTTGAGGAATAACCCTTGAAGCCACTCCGACTTTGGTGGCCGCCATCACCGAGCTGGTGGATGAACTTGTCGATGACATCCTCGGTGTCATAGGCAAGCTCCCTCACCAGCGATATCCATGCTTTCGCCTGGAAATCCGGATCTTGTAACGTGGAGTACTTCTGAACCGCCGCTTGCATGCTGGTTAGCTCAGATTTGAGCGAGCGAATCTCACGGCGGACGCCTTTGAGACGGCCACACTCATCGGCGAGCAGAGCCGTGAGCTTCCCCAGCAGGGGACCCAATGCGCCATGGAAAGCGCTCACCACCTCCATCGACCTCTCTATGCTTTCTTTCTGCAACCCATGTATGGTAATGGTGTCGCACTGTGGCTTGGAGTAGAGTAGAGTATAGTAGAGAGAAGTCCAAGATTCTTTCTGTCTCGTTTGCGTTTTGCAGGCTTGATGAAGCGTAGAGAAGGTGACTAGTTGCCATGTTCGGGCGCCGGCACTTGGTAATAAAGAACTAACGGGTATCGCTCACGATCTGACTTCTTTTTTGAACCGCTCACGATCTGACGTTTGTTTTAAAAAAACAATTACCAGCTTTCATTTCAAATTGATCGGTGAAGTACTGAAGTGGGACTGTGACCAAAGATGCTCGAATCGAATCAGTGGAGCATGGGCCCCAGTGCACATGCAACGCAGCGAGATATAAAATCGTGAATTCACTGTACCTCTGTTCGTCGGTTTTCTCATAGTGCTCATCCAGGCTCGAGCTTTTGACTCAGGACACGTGCACGTTTTTTGTTTTGGTGCGTATTGCCCTCTGTCCCATAAAAAAAAGGTCATTCGGGCATTCAAAATTGTCTCCGAAAGAGTGCCGCAAGCCTACTGTGTTAGTCTACAGTGAGGCAGCATCCTTCCGCTAAGTAGGGTCACTGGAAATATAGCTAGTTGCATCCTCGATTCAAAGAAAAGTACTGCACTGAGTATGCAGGTGCAGTGATGAGTTTTCTATTATGGTGCATGTGGCTGTGCTTCCTCCGTCCCATAAAAATGGTCGTTGTAGGACCCGTCACTCATACCAAGGTTGATGAATAATGACATACATATACACGATGTGTATTAACCGCTCATTTGTCATATTTACTACAACCACAAAAGACACATGCACAGTAATAGAAAACTCACCGATGCACTACCTTTTCACAAAAAAAACATGCACCTGCATATTCAGCATAGTACTTTTTTTTTTGAGAGCAAGTACAGTAAAGGGATGTAAGTGGGTTGTATGCTCTAATAGAGGAGAGGGAGGAGAAGTGGGCTATGAGCTTATAGCTGGTTTAGATACAAAACCAAGAAACTTTGTGTCAGATATATATGGGCCAGGGGTAACCGCACCGCCCGTATATGTGACCATCACCAGGCTATCGGCCCACGCGCACTGCATTGTCCTAAGGACCTTTGACCGCTGCACACGAGAGCCGAGATAACTCCTGGTAATCTATTGGGTGTCCCTCGGAGAACCCCGAATTATCCACATTTTACAACTCATACAGGATCAACCATGGAGTTACCATAACATTACAACATTTGGTAAAAAAATATCTTATATAGGAGTGCGGTAAAACTTATAACATTAGTTTACAAAACATGTTCAGGTAAAAACTTAACTTAAGTTTCAAAAGGTGAGTAGATCTACCGAGGCAACTTAGATGAAGCATCTAAGGTAGATGAGACAGCCAGATCACATCGAGCCCACCGACATGACCTCGATTAGCAGCATAAGTTAGATCCTGCAACATGGGTTAACAATACTTGAGAGTACTCAATAAGTCTTACCCGACTAAAAGAAAAGGCTCCAAGGGCATACAGGTGCTTAAAGGAAAGTTGGAAGTAAGAACAACTTTTTGCGTAAAAATCACATTAAGTCATTAGTAGTATCCAGTTTACACCTATTCTACATCAATCACTTCTTTAAGCATCTCATCTCATCTCTTATTCATAACCATAAGTAACCATGTTTTCATTGATTAACTACGATGCAGGGCAGAGGGTCGAGTCTTCTTCTCAGAGAAGCAACGGTGATTCAATCGATTTGGCCAAATGGGTTTCCTTATTTACGACATATGTAGGTCCCAGACCTACATATATCAACCCTTTCCAAGGATCCTCCAAAACATGAACTGATCTCAAGCTACCCAAGAATACAATACTCCACCTCCCAGCGCCGTCCTAGATGGATTCATAGGATGGGTACACGCTACTCTCGCCATCTCCCACTCCCAAAGTGCATAAATTGTCTTTTTCACATAACGGAATAGCCAAGGTATTAGGTTTACCGGAGTATGTGGCCAGTACTACAAAGTCTCGACCACATACAAGCCTACAAATCTAACGGTCCTCAATCGACACAAGCAGATTTGGCAACGACCCGTGCAAACACATGCCTTGAGTGAACACTTACCATAACGTCATGTCCCTTTGGTCTCAATTTAAACATTAACATCATCATGGTATTCTCACAACCCAAAGGTTGAGCCAATAAGAGCAAGGTAAAACCTATTTCCCACGAACGATGAAACCATCATTCAACTTCTATCAAAGTCTAAGCATTGCTAAGCATTAGAGGTATTGACCTACACATACTAGCGGTGGTTCTACTAAGGATACACGAATATCAAGGTAATCATGCAAAAGATGGTATACGACCAACTCATAATTACTTAATGCACGCCTCACTAGACTTAAAGTGTAATAAAGATTTATAAATACTAGAGAAGCATTTATGCTCCGGGCTTGCCTCACTGCGTTAGAAAGGTCGATTCCACGTAAGATCCAATTAGTTAGACTTGGCACCAACACCACCGGTGGATGGACCTTCTCTCCGAAACTTGATCAACACGAGTCTTCTCACTCTCGTAGGTACTACATGTAATAAATGATGCTTTGCTTAACATAATGGACTACATGCCATGATGTATGATGAGAACATTCAAGTGCATAACATAAGATAAACAAAGTTAAGAAAGTTGAGTACAACTTTCCTTCACAAAAAACTAGGGTTATTATTATAAAAGGCATTTTCATTATTTAACTAGCAAGTTAATTAGTTGTTATCATGAAAGCAACACTTATTATATTAAACTAGTCAAGCAAGGATTAAAACATGATCTAATCACATGCATCTATTAACTAAATGATTAAGTAAGTCCTTTTAGTTATTTACCAACAAGTTAATTATAAACATATCAAAGAATTATTTAATTTGTCAAGGAACAATAGAGGTTTGGTGTCCCAAGCTCTATAAACAATACTCAAAATACACCAAAGCCATTTAAGTATTTTCCTAATTCATTTGAGCATTTATTAATTAAAGAAAAGGTATTTAAACGCATTTAAATTAATTAACTAAGTTAGAGTTATCAAAATAGTACCAAAGTTTTGTGAAGGCAGGTATTAGCACATAACATTTACACAAAAGTTTCATGATTAAAATATTAATATTTGAGCCTATAAAATCATGGATGGTGCATTTTTTAATTAAAAGAGGTAATTTTTAGTCATACAACATCTATTGATTTTTAGCATTTCATATTTTCCTAGGTAGAGCATACAAAGATAAGCTTACACAAAATTTTTCATAATTTTATCACACTTCTACAATTTTATATGAATTAAACAAGAATCAACACATTTAATTAATTTCTAAAATAAAAATTGTTGAAATTCTTTTCTTACTCACCCTTCAAATGCACAAATCATCGACATACGGGGCCAGGGTCAAACCCGACCTGCCCACCTTGACCATGCTACCAAGGTAAGCCACGGAGTCACGGCCACACGAGGTTCCCATGTATGTGGTCGGCCTCTGTGGACTCGTGGTAGCCTCGCACGCCTAATCTGCATGTACTAGTTGAACGATTTGGAGTTTGCAAAGAAGCTCACTGCGGCCATGGAGGCACGAAGGCGCGGCGGCGGACCGGCTACTCTGGCTTGGTAGGGGTTCACTTAAGAGCTCAGGCGGTACGAGTAGCTCACCACGATGTTGTTGCACTGCTTGATTGAGTCAGAGCCAAAGCGGAGCTATGCTACCGACGTCGGGGCCGAAGACGACAGCGCAAACCAGCGGCGGTGACGTGTTCTGACGCGTCCTGCACGACAGAGGCAAAAACGAAGAGCCAGTGACCATCACTAGGTCAAAAGGAGGTAGAAACACGCGAGAGGAGGACAAGGGAGCAGCTGGAGGAAGCTGGCCCCGATGAGGCGGTCTCCACGGCCATGGCAGACCGGCCGTGGTGAGAATGGTGGGCGCCGCTAGTTCAGGCGATTAGGGCCAACTTGAGCGGGCTCACCAGGTGCGCAAGAGCGCGGCAAAGGTAACTGTGAGGTGGAGCAGGTGGAGGTGAAGCGAGGACAGCGAATTTGGCCGGCGAGGTGAGCTCGGCAGCGGCGGAGCTAAGAGAGGATAAGAGGGAGACGATGGCCGGTGCGGGCTTAAGAAGGCAAAGGCGAGGCTTCTAGGCACGCCAGCACTGTAGCAGCTGTGTGCCCAAACACATGAGGGCGATGCTTGAGGGCAGCCGGCGGTGAGACAGCCGAAGCTAGCCGCTGCCTTGAGAACACTTGTAGTAATGCATGACCTGATCTTCATCTGCCATTTTCTTCCAAAGTCATGTAGCAACTTGAAAAACTCCAAAAACAAAAGTTGCTTAGCTCAACGAGATCTTCAACTTTGTTTCAAGGATCAAACCCTAATTCGAACTGGTTGAAGAGTTTTTGATTTTGAAACAAGATTTGAAATATGTTTTTAGGGTTTTAGGAAAATAGTTAATTAGCAACTTTGGCAAATTAATTAGTGATTAGCTAGTTGTCAAACTAATCAACCAATAACACATCTTCTTAGTACAAACTCATACCAATTCATGGATCAAAAGTTGCACATGTTTTATTCATGTAAATTGATTTAATAAATCCCCAAAATGGAACTTAATTGTTGTTTGCGTGACTTAGCTAAAAATGCTAAGTGAGGGAAACAACATTCAAATTCAATTCTTGAAGCTCAAATTTAATATGTTTGATTCAAAAACATCATTAATTTTTGATTCTATATAGAGCACACTTTGTACCACAAAGTTTATTTTAACAAAATTTTAATTATTTAAGTAATTTCTCATATACAAAATTCACAAAAGAACCTTAATTGATAATGTTGTTAACATTTCATGCAACATATGAAACATATAAATGCCATAATTGAAACATGGAGTACATTTATGCCTTAATGCTTGTTGATTATGCATGATGATGCTCATGATCCAGTTTTAATTGAT